TTGAGCTGGGATACCCTCGGCCGCACTTTCACTCTCCCCAATCCCAGCTGTTTTTTTTTAAGTTTGTGGAACCTCAGCACATGCAACATCTACCCATTCACATTCTCTTAATTCCTCTCTTGCTCCCCCTCTCTGTCCTTCACCACCTATATCTATTTTAACCACTCCATGATAGTTACTGTACTTCCTTGTTTATTCTCCTCAGATCCAAATTCTCCATCAAGTTTTTTAAGCACCCTGTTCTCTAAGCATGCTGAACTGAAGACTCAGTGCATCATCATTCACTTCAAGCATCAAATCGATAAAAGTTCCTCAACTTTTCCTTCCTCTTACAACATACAACATTTTTGACACGAAAGCTGCACACTACCTAACTACATTTTCTGATTTTCTCAGTTTTCTGCAAGTCTTCTGAATCTCAACAACATCATGCATTTTGGCCCATGTTTTCCAGTTAAATTATCATTATTGCAACAATCTGCCCATAAAGCATGTAGGATAACACTTTTCACACTTCCTCAATACACATGACAGTAATAAATCAAATGAATTAAATCAAATCAAATCAAATCAACTGCAGATGGTATTATTCTCAAAACAGAGAGATGGCGGTCCACATTAGGCTATAAAGTTGATAATCAAGGGATTCCATCCAAACAGTCACTTAAATGGATCAATTTATTTCTAGTTAAATACATGATCTTTAAGTGAAATATAAAAAAGATAACTTAGATGCCATGTTACTGCAAATTAAGATCAGCGCATACATATAAACTTTACAAGATCTTACTCTTGTTACAAGCTTGAATGTTTTTGTTGTTGACACATCCTTAATCTTCACAAAATTATTTTTGGCTAGCTCTAGTCTTCCTCTGACTTCAGCTTTGCATGTGCTATCTTTCATAATATAATTGTTTTTCACCTCATTTTCTGCCCAGTCAAAACTGTGCTTTACCAGATCATTATCTGCCATTTACACCATACAAAATGATCTTACAACTAACCATATTCTCCACTAAGTCCACCTCTTTGCTTTCTGGGACATTTGAGCTGGGATACCCTCGGCCGCACTTTCACTCTCCCCAATCCCAGAGTTCATAAGAACAATCAGATTAAAGAACTGATGTTTCATGCAGAAACTGTTCTTTACAGTTCACTGCTTTATAATTTCTTAATATCCATACTGTGATGATTGATAATAAATGTTGTATGTTGTTAATTACATCCTGTGAGTTACAAAAATAGATCAACTAATTGATGCATAATTTAGCCAATGACCATCTCATTATAAAACAACGATGCAAAAGCATTAAATTTTAATATTGGCTGTAAATAATGATTGAAGCCGTGGGATTACAATATGCATTTGGGCACCAAAAAAATGAGACTTGTCTGTTGCTGCACAATGTACAGTCTATGAATGCCCTTCACCGAGTCACTGATAAATGGCTGCGGTGGACATGCTCAAACTTAAATTTGCCGTGCAATTAAAATTGCGGTTTAATATGCAAGTCAGTAATAAACCAAAATCAATTCAAGAAAGTAGAAAAAAAAGTAGCTTTCATCAATATTATCTTCATTGAATACAGAAACTGCAATATTTCTTAATGAATGAAATGCATAAAAGTGAAAAGCAGAGAGGTTTGTGAAAATATTCTGTCCCATTAATAAGGAAGGTTGCTGTACTTCAATAAAAGTGAGCATTTATGCCTTTGTAAATAACCAATGCTTCCAATTAATAAAAATATGTGGCTGTTACCTGGATATGTTGTTAAAGCTGAGGAAAAATCTTTGGAGTCTAGGTAATGTGTCTGCATCTCTCTGTAAAAAAAGGAAAGAACAGGGAGTCGTCAGCAATAATGTCCTTAACATCCCAGCAGCCTTTGAACAGGATCTTGCAGCTCCGTTTACTGCAGTCTTGTCATTGGTTTTTGCTTGCAGTGAGCAGAGCTTCCTGCTGTGGCAAAGCACTGCAGAAGAATACAAGCCTACAAAGACATATTCAGGCTGACAAGCTGATGCATTCGCCACGTAAAGGGTAGGGAAGGAGCTACTATGTCTGCGTGGGCTCTCAGGAGAAGCAGCCCGCTTCATCAGCATTTCAGATACAGAAGGAACTGGTGCAAGCAGTGCACTGATTTGCTTTCAAAGCTGCCACTCATAAGCAGCAAGCTATTGTTTTCTATAGTTACCCCTGATTAATTTATGTCAGTAGGGTTTTACGTATCTGTTTATTTAGATCAAAAGCAAATGTTTCTGCAAGGAGCATAAATGATCTTGACAGGCGATCTACACAAAATAATATATATATAATAAACCCAGTAACACAAGAATACATACGATATAAATAAATTCTGCAATGATAAGTGCACAATATTTCTTTTATAAATAAGATTGACTGGATTCCTGACAAAGATTTCCATCAATGTGAGACTTACACCCACCTCTAAACACTATGAGTGTAATCTTCGATGCCCAGCTGTAAAATTCAGGTAATGCTGCATCACCAAAGTAATTAAGCATTTTAAGGGCTGAAATACCTAAAAGACATGTGGTTTCTGCCTTATAAACTTCAGTGCAGACCAAGACCTTTAATACATTGAATTTGTATGGCAGGTCATTTTGTAAAGCTGCTCTACGCCAGTACTCACATTCCACAGGAAGTAAACCAAGCTGCAGGCCAGGACAGTACGAGCCTGAGCTAAGAGTTCCTGCCCTTACTATTAAAAGCAGTATTTGATTCAGATGGCAAAGAGTCCTAATAATAGGACAATGGGAATCATGGGGAATTATCTCTGCTGGCTGAAATCATACCTAGCGCAAAGAATTGTGGTTATTGTGGTTATTGGAGGTGCCTGCATGAATATCTCAGAATAACTCCCTCGAAACAACCATCATCAGCTGCTTCCACATTGGCATCCTTTCTATGATAAGGTCAGAAGTGGAAGTGTATGCTGTTGATTGCACAATATTCAGCGCTATTTGTGACTTCTCAGATATTGAAATAGCCTAGGCAAGACCTAGACAATATCGAAGTTTGTACTGATAAATAGCAAGTAACATTAGTGACAAGTGCCAATCAATGACCATCACTAACAAGAGAGAATCTAATCATCACCTCTTGACTTTCAAAGGTATTACCATCACTGAATCCCCACTATCAAAATTTCAGGGCTTACTATTCACCAGAAACTGAACTGGACCAGCCTTTATATATACTGTGGCAACAAAATCAGGTCAGAGGCTAGAAATTGTGCAGCTATTAATGCACTTCCTATCTCCCCCAACATCTGTCCACCATCTATAAGGCACAAGTCAGACAGCAATGGAATACTCCCCACTTGCTGGATTGAGTGCAGCTTCAACAACCCTCAAGAAGCTTGACATCAAACAGGACAAAGCAGTCACTTGATTGGAACACCATCCACTAGTGACATACAATGGCAGTGTATACCATCTACAAGATGCACTGCAGCAAGTCACCAATGCCTCTCTGGAAGCATCATCCAAACCCATGGCCTCTACAACCTCAAAATAAAAGGGCTGCAGATACATGTGAATGTTACCAGCTGCAACTTCCCTCTAAGTCACTCATCATCCTGACTTGGAAAGATATCGCCATTCCTTCACTGTCAAAATTCGGAGACTCATTTCCAGCATCCCCTCTAAGTTTTCTTACAGCTGCATGAGCTACCAAGATCTGCACTCGGCAGTGACCTCTGGAACCGAAAGTCAATGGCACAATTGTCATGCTGACACCGACCACCATGAGCAGAACTTGGAGTGGCTACACACACACACACACACACACACACACACACACACCCATGTGACTTTGAGGGAACACTGACGCCCCCCTCCCTAATAGCATTATGGGTATCCCTCTACCCCAAAATAGCAGCCTTTCAAGAAGGCAGTTCAACTTCTCCAGGGCAATTAGGAATGGGTAATAACTGCTGGCCTAGGTAGTGAAACCCACATTCAATGCAAGAATTAAAAAAAACTGACAGTGGCTGCAAAGAGTAGCAGTTGGACAATCTGTGGATAAACATATTTTCAGATTTTAATAATCACTTGATCAAACTAACTTTTGAGATAATTCTCTGCAGAATTTTGTACGTTTTCTTCCAACTTGGAGTGGTGTGAATTGTTTATTTCTGGGTCATATATAAGTAATATTCATACCACACAAGTGCCACACTATGACATGTCAAAAAAGCAAGACTCTGAACATTGACCAGAAACTACATACCAGTTACGAGACCAAGTCAAAGGCTAGGAATTCTGTACCATATACAAGGTACACTGCAACAACTGAGATGAATGTTCACATAGAGAATTATTATTTGGAGACTTGAGCTCTAAAGTGGACAGAACCATGTCTAGCTTAAAGTTTGATTTGCATTTCTATGTTGTATGTCTTAAGGAAGGAGTAAATATAGTTCTGGCTTCATTTCAACTTTTGAGTTCTGAGAGTGTTACTGGGTTGTCTGAAGTTTGGTCACATATATTTAAATGAAGCCTTTAAAAAAAAAACCCTTGGTGTGAATAGTCCAGTGCTTTAGAAAACAAGAGAATAAAGAAAGAAAATCAGGCTTTAGCCTAGCAACAACGTGTCCTAGGACAAAGGGAAACAGACATTAAAAAATTTTGTTCAGGAAAAACACACAGAAACATCAGAAGATCAATGAGTCTGCTGGTTCCTTTCAGACTGAAGCAGGACATTCAGAAAGAAAAGTCTCAAAAGGTCAGCAGTGCAGTGTAGCAGTCTGCAAAATTGTTAAGGCAGAAGTAAAGAAGCCCGTAATGACTCAGAAGTTAATAAGAGAACAGTTCCAGAATGAGAAGTTTTAAAGGTGTTCAGAGTGGAAGACATCTCACACAGCTGCTGAATGTACAAGCTTTAAGAACACACATTAAGACAATAAAATGTTGGAGCAGCCCATCAAGTCTGCTCGGCCAATGAGATCATGGCTGCTCTGAAAATCGTTAACTCCACTTTCTTGCCATTTTGCCAGAACCCTTGATTCTCTTAGTGATTAAAAATCTGCCTATCTCAGCCCTGAACGTACTAAACTCAACAGCCCTCTGTGCTAAAAAATTCCACAAATTCGCTACTCTCAGAGAAGAAATTCCTCCTCATCTTTCTTAAATGGGCAACCCCATAATCTGAGGTTATACCCTCTGGTCCTAGTCTCTCTCACACAGGGAAACATTTCGCCAACTACCCTGTCAAGTCCCCTAAGAACCTTGTATATTTCATATGGGTTGCCTCTCATTCTTCTACATTCACAGACCAATCTTTTCAATCTCTCCTCATAAGACAGCCTGTCCACACCTGTCATCAGCTCAGCAAACCTTCTCTGAATGCCTCCAATGCCAGTGTATCTTTCTTTAGATAAGGTGCCCAACATTTCACAGTATTCCAGCTGTAGGTAGACTGACTACTGCCTTATACAGTTTTAGCAAAACCTCCATACTTTCATATTCCACTCCCTTTGAAATAAAAGCAAACATTCAATTTGCCTTCACTATTACCCAATGAACTTGGATGCTAGCTTTTTGTGATTCATGAATGAGGACTCCCAAATCCCCTTGGTCTATAGCTTTCTGAATTCTTTCTCCATTTAAGTAACAGTAAGCTCCTCTATTGTTCTTGCCAACGTGCATAACCTCACATTTTCCTATACTACATTCCATCTGTCAAGTTTTTGCCCACTAACTTAACATGTCAAAATCCCTCTGCAGAATCTGTCTCTTCCTCAGGACTTGCCTTTTCAGCTATTTTTGTGTCATCCACGAACGTGGCTATAGTACATTTACTTTCCTCATCCAATCATTTATATATATTGTAAATAATTGCGGTCCTAGTACTGATACCTGTGGCACTCTGTTGGTTACAGGGTGCCATCTTGAAAATGCCTCCTTAGCCCAACTTTCTGTCATCTATTAATTAGCTAATCATCTTTCCATGCTAATATACTACCTCCAACACCATGGATTCTTTTTTTTTTTAAGTAGCTTAAAATGAAGTACATAATAATAATACATCCATGGCTCCCTTTTTATCTATCCTTCTAGTTAGCTCTCAAAGAATTCTAATAAGTTTATTAGATACGATTTCCCCTTTGCAAAGCCATGCTGACTCTGCTTGATCACATCATGTACTTCTAAATGCTGAGCTACTATACTCTTTATGATACAGTCTAAGATTTTCCCAAGAATTGATGCTAAGTTAACTGGCCTGTAGTTATCGGTGTTTCTTTTTGCCTCCTTCCTTCTCTAAATCAAGGGGTCACATTGGCAGATTTCCAAACTTTTGGGAATTCTCCAGAATCTTAGGATTCCTATGAGTTAGTGAGCTGTGTTAGCAGTTTGGTTAAGGGTCTCATGAAGAGACATTAACTAAAGAAGCTAGAACAGGAGCAGGAATGTTTTGCTGCCATTATACAGGCCTGGGTGAAACCATGCCTGGAAAATTATGCATAGTTTTAGTCTCCTTATCCGAGGAAGGGATACTCTTGCTATAGAGGAAGTGCGACAGAGGTTTACCAGACTGATTTCTGGGAAAGCAGGACTGACCATGCAGGAGGTTCAATTAGTTAGGATTATATTTGCTGGAGTTCACAAGAATTGCGCAGGGGTGGGGAATCTTAATGGAACCTATAAAATTCTAACAGGATGCTCCGAATGACAAGGGAGTCCAGACCAGGGTCACAGTCTAAGGATATGGGGTAAACCATTCTGGACTGAAAGGAAAAGGAAAATTTCTTCACCAAGACACTGGTGAACTTGTGGAATTCGCTACCACAGAAAGCAGT